AGAATCTTGATCTTAGTCGTTCCTTTGTACTCATCTTCTGTCGTCTTTAAAGCTTTTCTCGTCTTTAAAAATCTATTTTCATGAAACTTTCCATGTTCGACTAATGAAAATATATGATTAAAAAAACTTGTATGGCTCCAAGTCTTTCAAAGTGAACTCTTTGCGAGTTCACATGAGGAAGTGTTCTTTTTTTTTAACTTTCATTTTATATCATTTTTAGAGCCTTCAAAATCTTAGCTCATGTTTTCTAGAAAACTCTTGATCGCTTTGATATTAAGAATAGAATACAAAATCGTTTTCCCGCATTCGAAAGAGAATGCATCTATCTATCAAATAAAAGAACACAGCTGTTCATTAGAACGAACATTATTGAAAAACAAATTTGTTTGGATTGAAAAAAACCTAAGTCGAGAAAAATGCCATAACGTCGTCTTTTTTCTTCTATATTTACTTGAAGAATTTTATGATATGAGTATCAAATATGGTCATATCACGTATCAATCAAAAACTCATCTGTAGTCTTATCAATTTGCCTTTTAGGACTATAATAAGACGCCGCAACTACTCTATAATGCTCATCATTTTCCTCCAGATATGGTTTTGACCTTTTCGCTGGAGAGGTCTACAAACTAATCATGATTTCTGAGGAAAATTTTTAAACTTGGAAGATGTTCTTATGAATTTTCAGAGTAAACACTTTAAGGAATAGACCTGCATGTTTATCTCAAAAAGTGACTTGTTTTGGAGGAAGAGTAAAGCCATTAGCCCCCTGAGAAAATCTATTTTCGAAAAAAAGAGACAACATTGAGTTTTTATTATAGGAAGATGCAGTGAAATTTTCTCTCTCAGAATATATATAACTTTTCGAAAAAAACAACTTCGAACCTACTACCGTGTTTTTCAAGGAATTTTCATGGTTTTCTTGAAGTCTTGTAGTTTTGTAAAAACTGCCTTTGCATTTGCATCAGCATTCTATCAAGATTCTTATATTATTTAAGCACAATACGTGGCATTAGCTCACATCATCCATTACGTGTTTCTAAAAACTTCACTTAAACATATTATCAATACTTTTATCTGGATTTGAATGAAAAAGTCCATCTCTCAAATTATTTACCGCTTTCGCCACATCATAGTTTTCAATCAGAAAAAATAAAATTCTTTCTATCCGTTTCAAGATATAAGCAATATTTTTGTGAAGGTCTATATTAGAGTAAACTTGTATTCCACTAGGTTTTTTATAGTTGATTTCTATGTTGAGAAAAGCGAGATTTAGTATTGTGAGGTGACATTTCTTACTTATTGCAGCACCATGTCTACTAAAACAATCATAAAAAGTGAACTGAAACCAATTTCCAAATTCGGTCCAAATGAAAAACTGTGTAGCGATACCGACTTTAATTTGAAACCACCTCAAACAGTGTATCTCTTGTAGTGATGAAGTTAGACGGGATCCCTTAAAAGCTATAAATAGACTGTAACTAAGCTGGTAGTTCTGTCTAATTTGTCGCATCGAGCTCAACTCATTAACAGAAGTGTTTTTAACTAGCACCATTCATTACTGAAAAAAGTCAGCCTAAATGAGCCATTCCATGTGATACATTTATTGTGAAGGATTTTCAGATGATTGAAAGCGTCCTTTTTAAATAGTTAACAAAATTTTTTTATAAAATCAGTAAATGTTTTCTAAGTTTTATTCGTTATATAACGAGGGACTCGACTCAAGTAGCATCTCGCGTTTAAAATGAATGACCGTTCCACTGAACTTTTTACTCCTTTGGTATAGTACTTCTAAAAACATCGAACAAACGAATTTGCGGTCCAAAACTTTGTCCATAAAGAACACTTGAGACCCATAGAATATCCTAAAATTTTTTTCCGAACAGAGTGGTTTCCTCTTGAGATGTTAAATTCCCAAAGAACCATAATTTCCTATCAGAAAGAACAGACAATCTAGTTGTTGTCTTGAGTACTCAATATTTCAAGAAGAAATCGCATTTTTTTGGTCTGATATTTTTATGATATTCTAATAGTCTCAGGAGTTGGTGACAGACAAAGTTTCAGATCAAAATTCATTTGCTCGATTTTTTCATACATATCTCACCTAGAGTAAATGATCCAGTAGAACGATCATAACTCTGGAAGAACAGTACATTGCGACGATTTCTTTTAGTCTTTTTATCTCAATTTCGACTTACCCCACAGAGTAGTGGACTTAAAGGCATGAATTCATATGCATGTTTCTTTAATTCTAAATAGCATCTCATTATCTTTGCTTTAGTTATGTCAATCATTAAATGAAGACTTTTGGACAGTACGATGCTGTGTTAGTCTCTGGACAACCTTTTTTATTATTATCCTAGTAGCTTGTGAAGGTAGCTTTATGATTCGTCATGTGACTCGATTTACTGAAGAAATATTTGCTCTTATTATTGCTCTTGTTTATCTTTATGAACCATTTAAAAAAATTTATAAGGTAAAAAAAATATCGTTCTATATCTCATTATTTTATGATTTTATTTTTCATACAGATATTTCTTTCAAATCCAGTTCAATCTAAATATAATTATAATTATCCATTAACTTGCTCATGTAATGTATCTTCTATATTGAATACAACATTAACTTTTGACAAGATGAATTCATCATTTGATGACTTATTATTTTCTTCTACATCAAAATATTCATGTTATAATTGTATATCAAAACAAGATTTGTTTTCTTCTTCAAATTCATTATATAATAATTCCATTTCAAAATCAAATGATGAAAATCAATTGCCAAATAAAGCACTTCTTTCATTTATAATACTTATTGGAACATGTTTTATTTCTGTGGCCCTTAAACGCTTTCGGCGAAGTA